CATGCTTTTGTGACCACATACTAAACACCAGAAGGTAAAAATCACCAAGCAACTTTGCTTGTCACAGCCTGTTCATGCAGTCTTCATTAATCTACTCTTAATATAGCTGCAGAGTCTGTAGGTCTTTAAAAAGACAGGTGAGAGAGAGAGAGATCACAGCACACACATAAACAGCCCGTGCAGGGAAAACCAAGTGGAAAGTAAAAGAAATACAAACTTAAAGAACAGCAGCTTTACGTCCATAGTTTGGGTTCTGGAACTGATTGATGGGACTCTTGTATATGGGGTTCTCTTGCTATGGGTGCAGATGAGCACAGGGCAGAGATGAATGAGGAAACAAAGAGTGACAGTACAGGAGAGAAAAAAATACAAAAGGCGAGATCAAATGAAAAAGCAGGAATCAGGTGCGGTGACAGAAGAAAAGACAGCATGTGAAATAGAAGGAATTTAGCTGGAAGCTCTTATTAAGCAATGAGCCACCAAAGCATTTTTCCTAACATAGCTCATCAATTATTCACTTGTTCACTTGCAGTCTTTCTTGTCTTTTTGCTTTTGGTTAACTGGAAGTTGCTGAAGGTGCTCAAGCACTTAATCCTCCCCTCCCTGTCTGGCAGTTTCCCACCTCTCAAATAAAAGGATAAAAAGAACTTGCCATCAGATTAAAACATTTACAAAAAAACATGAAGGGCACCTGTGATGTTTATTTTTGTTGTCAATTGCACCTAAAGACCCGTACTGAATGTATTAAAGTGTTGTTGCAGCTTAAATACAACTGCATCATGTCAATATACACAACATATATATATAAATAGATCATAACTGATGATAGATACCTAAAAATTATAGGATGAAGATAAAAACAAATCAAACAAAGCATCTGGGTATGATATTTGACACAGACGTCTTCCTTTTATCTTGACAGGGAGCAGGGTTACATGCACTCTTATTTTTCAAAATTACAGGGATGTGGAGCTTTAGGCCACGCTGCCTGTGGGAATAAGAAAGACCCCAAAATGCAGAGCAGCTTTACTGCTGCTGATTAGAGACATCTGCACCATCAACCCCATTATTCACTGCAGGTTTGACAAACTCCTGCCACTAGATGGGGGAATATTACTGCACATGGAATTACGCTGAAATCCAGATTTTTGTTATATAGATATTGGCAGATGATGTGGAAGAAGCAGGGAGGGGAGGTATGCTCAGAGTGCATAGCATTCCCAAAAAAGTCCACACAGTCTTCAACATTTTTCCCTCTTTATTTTGAGCTCCGCTCAAAAGCAACAAATACAGTCTGTGTGTGCAGCTGTGGGACGGTGGAGAGTGAGAACAAGATACTTGATAATGATTTCGAAAAGTCTGCAAATCTCATCCGTTGCTAAAAAACAACAAAAGATCTTCGCAACTTAATTCTCTGACAGCGGCTGCTGTTGCTGAGCGGCCAACCGACACCTGTTTTCCACATCTAACTTACTAACCTCATCCAATAAAACCAAAACTAAAACAATCAAAAACATTTATCCTGCTCGTCTTTCACAGAGCCACTTCCTGTTCCAGGCACTCACCGTGTCCCATTTGGCGTTCATCTTCTCCTTTTCAAACTTGGCGAACTCTCTTCTGTCGTGGATGATCATCAGCAGCTTCCAGATCAGCAGCAGGGCTAAGCCAATGAGGACAATGCCTGCGACCACGCCGGCCACAATGGGGATGATGTCAGGACCGGAGGGGCAGTCTGAAAAAGAGCAGGGTTCAGCAGGCAGCTTGAAATCGCAGTGCAGCAAAAACACCATGGGAGTAACATACCATCACACAGCTATATGTGAGTAAACAAAAGCTCTATTTTTGTAAGCCAACCACCACGGCCCCTGTAATTAGCTTTTTCTGTAACAGAAACCTTCCACACCCTGTTCCCAGTGAGCCCAGCCCTTTCCTTACCCAGCTTGTCGACCACATGGACTTCCCTTTCCGTGTCGTTGACAGCGTAGGTATAGTAGAACCAGCAGTCATTGGCATCCCTCTCCTTGCAGTGCATCACGGGGTAAGGGTAGTCATTGGGCTGCGGCAGCTTGTTCCTGTCCTTCACTGTAATCAGGTTAAAGTAGCTGCACTCCTCTTTGCATGTTTTCATCTTCTCACC